CCACTTGCTTGGTCAGTGGCATTTCATCTTTGAAAATACCTTTAGCTTCAATATCGTGAAGGATTTTGCCTACATTTTCTTCCATGTACCTTATGGATTTGGGTTTGATATTGCGGTCTTTAATCCATTTTGATCAGACTTTTGTGCATGGCATTGGAGAGAGGTCAGTTCATTTTTTTTTTTTGCGTGTAGCTGTCCAGTTTTCCCAGAACTACTTGTCAGATAATATTTTTTTCATATAAATATGTCCAATGTAATAAGTGTGATAATTGGCACCTCCTTATACAGGAGACACTGTTATACTTTAAAAAGTTCATTGCATGAAATCTGTATATAAGTGGATCAACATGGAAAAAATTATGTTAAGTGAAATGAGTTAGAAAGAGAGGGACAGACATAGAAAGATTGCACTCATTTGTGGAATATAAAGTAACAGAATGGAAGACTAACACCAAAGAATAGTAGAGATAAGTACCAGGAGCTTTGTTCCATGGCTTGGAAGCCGACCTCACATGCTGAGGGAAAAGGCAGCTCAGATAGAGAAGCAACCACCAAGTAAAGGGTGTTTGGAGGGACCACTCGGGAGGGAAGATGCATGCCGAAAGTAGACTATAGATCGAACATGATGGCAATTCAAGATTTGCATTGCAGATCACAACACCCTAAAGGAGAAAGAGAGTAAAGGGAATGCACCTGTCATGGTTGGGGTGGTGGGAGGAGAACGGAATGGGAGGGATGCTGGGAACATTGGTGGTGGTGAATAAGCACTGGTGGAGGGATGGGTATTCTGTCATTGTGTGACTGAAATATAAACGTGAAAGTTTGTAAGTCGGTAACTACCTCATGGTGATTCATTAAAAAATAAAAACTTTTAAAACATAAAAATAAATAAATAAAAGTTCATTGCTGGGGTGAAAGCACAGCGGGTAGAGCATTTGCCTTGCACGCAGCCAATTCTTCTGCCCCTCTTGGAGAGTCACAAATTACCGAGAGTATCCCCCCTCCCCCCTGCACGGCAGAGCCTGGCAAGCTCCCCGAGACATATTGGATATGCCAAAAACAGTAACAACAACTCTCACGATGGAGACATTACTGGTGCCCACTTGAGCAAATCAATGAACAACGGGAGGATAGTGCTATAGTGGTGGGGTAAGAGCAATAACACATTTGGTAAGGAGCTTGCCTTGCGCACAGTCAACCAGGGTTCGATCCCTAGCAACCTATATGGTCCCCCTGGGCCTTCTAGGAGTGATCCCTGAGCACAGAGTCAGGAGTAAGCCCTGAGCACTGCTGGTTGTGGCCTCAGATTAATGGACATTCAGATTAATGGATCATCCTGCACTGTATCAGGCTGCTCCATGGAGGAGATCAGCATTAAAAATTGGGGTGGTGGGAGGGGGCCAGAGTGAGAGGACAGCGAGTTCTGAGTGAAGAGCTAGAAGTAAGCCCTGAAAGCCAAGTGTGGCCTTCCAAAATAAAATAAACTAATAAAATTAAAAAATGAAATCGAGGGAGATAGTATAGTTTCTAGGGTACGTTCCAGCATTGCCCCACTGGGGCTCTATTTCTGGAACTACTTGACCCCAGCCACTGCCAGCTCTGGAGGCCTGGAGTACCTTGGGATGTGGCTGTGTCACCCCCCGGCACTGCGGGCTGGGCACTTGGGGCATCCCCCCAGCACTGCAGAAGCGAGCAGCATCATGGCCTCGGTTCCCAACACTGAGCCTCAGGCTTGGTTGGTCAAGACTCACTAGCAGGCTCCCGGCACCTCCTGAGCAGCACGAGGGTGGCCCCAGTCTCAACATTCTCTAAGCCCGACTGCAAGTGAGATGACTCCAAGGGTTGAGCACAGGTTCTACAAGCAAGAGGCCTGGGTCCAATCCCCGCCTCAGCATGGACCTCCAAGCACTACTCAGAGTGATCCCTAAGCACAGAACCTGGGCTGAGCACCACTGGTGTGACCCCAATGCAAACTTTTTTTTTTTTTAATTAAAGAAAAGAAAAATAAGTAAATGTCTTCCCTAAAAAGGAAGTACTGGGGTTGGAGAAAGGAGAGGCCACAGTGCCCTGTGTGAAGGCAGGAATGAAGTCGAATTCCTTCATGCCAATTAAACCATCACAGGAAACCCCATTGGAAATCCCAACTCGTGACAAGCATGGGACTGAAGAGCGGGGGCAGGAAGATCAAGAGCGAGTGAGCGAGCGAGAGAGGCACTGGGTGCAGAAGGCCAGCGGCGGAGCGCGGGGCGGCTGCCGGCAGGTAAGGGGCTTCTGCTCTCTCAGTCGGGTTGGGAGGTTCTCGGGGCCCTGCCGCCTCCCTGAGACTTGCTGCCCGCTACTTGCTCTTCAGCACCTGCCTTTCTCCACATGCGGAGGCTCATTGAGTGTCCCAGGTGCCTTATCCTCAGACGGCAGGGACATAAGCAGAGAAGCAGGCACACGGTGAGTCAGATGCACCGGTGGTCTGAGCAGCACTGAGGTGTCCTCACCCCTGCACCTTTGCCAAAGCTGAACCTCGAGGGACGAAGTACAAAAACAGTTGAATGGGTTGGCCTCTGTGCCTTTGAACTCAGGGTTCACCTCTGGCTTCGTTATCAGACACCGTCAGTGAGCTCAACTGCTCAACCGTAATTTCCTTTTCACAACCGGGAAAGACAAATTGCCCACAGAAGCCCCAGAGGAGATGGTTCAAGGTGTGGATCTCCGCCTCTGCTCTACTATTAGAAGTGTTGCTCGTTACTATAACTCAGTGGGGATCAGGCCTTGACATGCACAAAGGCAACTTGAAGGGTGAGAAGTGCACAGTAGCGAGGAGAGGAGTGTCCCTGCTGGTTTCCAAAGAGTGTACCTGGGCTGTGTGCTGTGATTCAGAAGGTTTATGTCTGTTTGACTCGTACCGTATCTATAGCTGTTACAATGTCTGTGTGCATTTGTTCACTGCCTGGAGGGCCATGCATGGGTTCTAGAGTTCTGGGAAGGAAGCCGATGGTCTGAGTGTAAGGTTTACTCGGAAATGAACGGTGACCGGCGGATGAAATAGCGACATTCCCAGAATCAAAGATCACCCTGCCCCCAGCGTGGAAGACAGGACTTACGGCCCCTCTGGTGAAAGGAAGCGGCCATGTATTCCATGCTTCCTCTGCAGCTAGCAGAAGGCCAAACCAAACACATGGTCCCACCAGTGTTTGTTCTCTTTTTCCACCCAAGACAGCTGAAAATCCTGCTCAGCCTTTCCAGGGCGCAGCTCGAACCCAGCCTCACCAGGGGCCGGTAGGGTCTGCCCGAGAGTGCACCCAATAAACTTCTCCTATTTCTTCACTTTACTTGTCTCTGTCCCTCTGTCTGCCACGGGTGAGGTCAGAGCTGAAACCCAGGATGGGACGTTGGGGACCAGTGGCAACCGTTTGAACAGAACAACCAGGGAAGCGACCTCCGACCAGGGCAGCTCGCCCTGGGCTAACTCTCTGACTGCTCTCTCAGCTTTGTCTCCTGTACCTCCAATTGCCAGACCTGGGGTCCTGTGGACCTATCAGTGAGGAGGGAACTCAGGCCCGTCTCCCTGATTAAATATATATATTTATATGTGTGTATTTATATATTTATCTGTTGTGATGCTGGGATCAAATCCAGGGTCACATACCTTTAAAATATTATTTGAAAATATATCTACTGGGACTGGAGTACAGTGGGTAGGGTGTTAGCCTTGCATGTACTGACCTGGGTTCAATCCCAGGTGCCCCCATATAGTCTTCCTGAACCCTGAGCACAGATCCAGGAGTAACCCCTGAGCACTGCTGGGTGTGGCCCCATAACAATAAATACACACTTTTTACCTTTCTTTCTTTCTTTCTTTCTTTTCTTTCTTTCTTTCCTCCTTCCTTCCCTTCCTTCCTTCCTCCCTTCCTTCCTTTCTTCCTTCCTTCCTTTTCTTTCTTTCTTTCCTCCTTCCTTTCTTCCTTCCTTCCTTTCTTTTCTTTCTTTCTTTCCTCCTTCCTTCCTTCCTTCCTTCCTTCCTTCCTTCCTTCCTCTTTCTCTCTTTCTTTCTTTCTTTCTTTCTTTCTTTCTTTCTTTCTTTCTTTCTTTCTTTCTTTCTTTCCTTTTCCTGGCTCAGGGGATCAAACTGGTGTTGACTGAGTACAAGATAAGTGCATTAACCCTGTGTTATTTCTCTGGCTCCTATTCATAGTCACAAGGTTTGAATGAGGCAAAAGCAGAAAATATTTTTGTGGGAGAGATAAAGCAAATAGATTAAGTCAGGTCATGGGTTTCTGCAGCCTTTTTGGGGTGAAAGGATCAGGCACAAGCCCCAGGTCCCAAATGGACGCCTCCTTTGTTGGAAGTGGGTTTGGAGGAAGCTGTGCTTGGCCACACATGTCTGTTACTCATCGTAGCCTTCTGTTGTCCATGGATTGATACCAAATGACACTTCAGGAGAGAAATAACATTTTTAAATTGTGTGTGTGTGTGTGTTGTAGTGCTTGGGGTTTACTCCTGGCTCTGTGCTCAGGGATCAGTCCTGGTGGGCTCTGAGGACCATAAATGTTCTTGGGAGGCTGTGTGCAAGGCAAACACCTCACTTGCTGTACTACTCTCTGCCCCAATGTATTCTTGAATTAACCTCATTCTGGGCCAGGAAAACCAGGAATGCATAAAAATGCTTTTGTTTCTTCCTCTGTATGAGTTTGGAGAAGTCAAATGAAAGCAAATGAAGCCTAGATCTGCCCCAAACAACGATTCTCTTGGAACTTTTTTTTTAAAAAAAAAAAAACTTTTGTTTGTAGTTTCTTCTTCAAACATAATTTTCAGTAGATGGAAGTGTTTGTAAAGCTGAGCTCTTTCCAAAATTTTGAAAGCAATGAAAGAAGCAGGTGCAAATCCTGTCCCAGAGAGAGAAACCAGAGGGTGCACTTCATAAAGTCTGTTCTTGTGGACTTTTATAAGATGGTAAGCAAGAACATTCTGGAAGCTCAATGATGCTAATGTGCCTTGCTATTAGGTGTCCTGTGGCTGGATCCTACAAGATGCCAAGAGAAGAAGCTTACTTGGGCTCTGGTTACCCCAGGAGGGGGCATGGCCACTCCTACATCACAGCTGAAGAGTAAGTTCAAAGCAGGCTGGGTGAGCTTCCTGCCGGCCATCTGCTCATGCCATCCGCTCACTCCTGCCCACCCAAAAATCTCATCAACCTTGTTGGTTTTCTTTTCTCCAGAGGAGAGAATCCCTAGCCACAGGGGAGGGAAACCCTGAGGTACCACTGCAGGTTCCCCTGAACTTCACTGAGGCCACATAGGCCAGGAGACAGAAACGGTACAAAGCTGGAGCTTGCCAGTCTCATCAGCCTTCATGGTCCTTAGACTTGCAGACCAGATTCCCAAGTCGAGACCCATCTCTGAGAGTGAGGGATGCCTTGAGGAATCCAATCAGGTCTCTGGGGTGGTTTGCAAAGAGAACTCAGATGAGGGGCAGAAGAGGATAATGTATATAAGTTCACTTCAAACTGACTCTAGAGTGAAGACAAACATGCCAAGGCCATTGCCTTTGTACTTATCGAAATGAAAGGCATTTAGAGCTATGGTTTAATTTTTAAATAATATTTATTTATTTATTTAATGTAGGGCTGGAGCGATAGCACAGCGGTAGGGCATTTGCCTTGCGTGCAGCCAGCCCGGCTGAGCCGGGTTCGATTCCTCTGCCCCTCTCAGAGAGCCCGGCAAGCTACCAAGAGTATCTTGCCCGCATGGCAAAGCCTGGCGAGCTACCCGTGACGTATTCAATATGCCAAACACAGGAACAACAAGTCTCAAAATGGAGACGTTACTGGGCCGGCTCGAGCAAATCATTGAACAACGGGAAGACAGTGCTACAGTGCTATATTTATTTAATGTAGGAGTATTGCTATTTATTCAACCATTGATTAGGCTGATTGAATTGAGCATGAACTCTACCTTACTTTTTTTTCATTTTATCACTTGATCACTTGACTTCCCGTTAATAATCGATTTGCTCAAGTGAGCTCCAGTAATGTCTCCATTTGTCCCTGTCGCGTGCTAATTCGTTTTTAAAAATTTAATTTCATTTTTATAAATTTATTTATTGAATCACCGTGAGAGCAGTTACAAAACTTTCAGGTTTAAGTCTTGGTGATACAATGATGAAACACCCGTCCCTTCACCGGTGCACATTTTCCACCACCAAAAACCCCAGTGTACTCCCCATCCCACACCCTCCCTATACCTGTGGGGCAGATGATTTCCACATTACTCTCTCTCCATTTTGATTGCATTCAATATTTCGACATGAGAGCCATCATTATTATTTGGGATTTTACCCCAACACTCAGATCTGCTGAAAAGGCAACCATAGACAATTTGTTTTCTATTGCTGATTGCTGATTATGAATAACATATGATGTCGCACAGCCGCACTAGTAGACACACGATTTTGGAATTCTGAAATTTTAACAATTAAATCTGGAGGGATTTCTGCCAGAACCTGCTGGGTTCCGAGATTTGTTCCTGAGTCTCTGGGACCATGGCTGTTAAGCAGTTTGATCAGGAGCCAGAGAGGCCATTCATGGGCGGCGACCCAGGGTTTCATTGGGGCGGGAATGAAAGGGCCGGTTCCACCCTCATCCTGCGAGGCCCTGCATGTCTTGTCACTGTGGGCCCAAACCTGACTGTCCAATGGCTTCTGGCGGAAAGCTGCCCCCGAGCCACCAGGGAGAATAGGCCAAGGCACAAAACCTATTCCCACCTTGGGCTACCTATTGTGGGGACCAGATGCATTTCTGCCAAAAGCTGCTGGGTTTAGAGATTTGTTTCTGAGTCTCTGGGATCATGGTCGTTAAGCAGTTTGATCAGGAACCAGAGAGGCCTTGCCTCCAATTATATAGTTGAGCCGGAGGTGGTTTGAGGGTGTGTTTCCCATATACCTAACTTTTGGCCGTTTACTTTCTTGGTAAACTTGGCCCCAAGTTGTTGGGGTCTGGCCAAAGGCACAGCAGCAATTTTGGGGTATCTGGAAGTCTGAAGGCGCCATCAGGCTGCTGATGCACTCACCTCACAGGTACAGAGTGACCTGCTGGCGGCACTATACCCCAGTAAAAATAATATTTACATGATTATTTCAAAGTGCTTTCAGTCATGGTCACTATTTTTTTTTTGAGGTTATACCTGGCGATGTTCAGACATCACTCTTGACTCTGTGCTCAGGAGCACAACCCCTGATTGTGCTCAGGAGACTCTATGTAGTGCCAGGTATAGAGCTCAGGTCAACTGCATGCAAGGGAAACCCCTTACCCGCTGTGTGCCTTTCAGGCCCCTCACTGACAGTATTCTTGCCTTTGGTTTGGGGGTCACACCTGACAGGGCTCTGTTCTCAGGAGCTGCTCAGGGGAATGTGCAGAGCCTGGGGTGAATTTGGGCTCCCGCATGCAGGAGATCACGGCCCATCAGCTCTCTCTCTAGCCCTTCACTTTTCTGTCTTTGAACAAGCATTCTAAGAGAGTTTGGGAGAATGAGTCAGCAGAGCTGGAGCAGGAACCCAGGCTGCAGGGACTCACCTGGGATGTGCTCCAGAAGGCCAGGCTATAACAGTGGGTGGGAGTCCAAGTGGGGACACTAACAGGGCAAACAAGGAGCCCAACTGTTATTGTTGGGGGGAGGAGAGATCGGGAGCCACCCTTGGCAGTGCTCAGGGGCTATTCCTGGCTCTGTGCTCAGGAGTGACCCCTGACCACCCTCAGGGACAGGTATGCGGTGCTGGGGATGTGGAGCAGGAAGGACTGTGGCCACCTCAGCTGCAGGGAGGCAAGTGCCTCACCTCCTGCACTACCTCTCCGGCCCTGAGGAGAGATTTCATTCAGACCAGCTCTAAGACGGCCAGCTTAGAATTTCCTGAAAGCCTGCTTTTGCTTTGGAAAGATTCATGGGGAAATCTCCAAGAAAGGAAGCAACAGACCCATCAAAGGTTTCCTGGCTGAAGGAGCCTTTGCCCCCCCTGGGATCCCAATGGAAATCAATAACATCCCTTTGAGATCCTTGGAGGGACCTTGCAAATGGCCCGAAAGAAAAACTTTCCTCCTTGGGTGAGGAGGTGCTGGCTTCTTAAGCTGAGTACACGGACATTGTTCAGCTCCTGGATGACAGGACCGTGTCTCTGAGCTCCATGAGAGGAATTTCCCCAGCTGAGGGGTACCTGAAACTCAGGAGTCCAGGAGTTGCCACTCCTGGGGTCGATTTGCGGTCACAGACTCTACACAGACCCTTCTGCTGTAGGAGCCCCCGCTGGGGTGCCCTGCATGGTTGGAGAGTGGGTGCTTTTTGTGTATCTGGCATATCCTAGGGGTTCTGCTCTCTGGGAGTCATGCAGTGTTGTGAGGGGCGCATGACCATGCGGGATGAGCTGGAACAGAGCCCTGTGTGTGTCAAGATGGCCCAGGGGGTGGGCACGGGCCTGGAGGGGAGAATCAGAATGCAGAGAAGCTGACGGTTGGATCAGCTGCCTCAGTCACAAGCATCCACTGAATGTCCCTTTGACAGCCTCCTCCCAGAAAAAGCGACGGCCTGGGGGGTGGGAGGTCATGGTCTGGGTCTGATTCAATTTGAAGGCTCACTTGCTGGGTACCTCAGGCTAGGCCCTGTGAAAGCAGCCTCTGCCACTGACCAGTTACCCTGTCACAGGCATTTGAAGTTGTGGGGTTAGGGCTGGAGAGATAATACAGCAGCGCTGGTGCTCGCTTTGCATATAGCTGACCTGGGTTCTATTCCCAGCACCCCATACAGTCCCCTGAGCCCTACCGGGAGTGATTACTGAGTACAGAGCTAGGAATAAGACCTGGGCACCATTCGGTGTGGCCCCTAAACCAAAAAACATTTAAAAATGTAGTGGTAAGTCTATTAGCACCAAAACCACCGCCAAGTGATTGCTATTAGGACGAAGAAAAGAACTGTATGTGACATTTTGAAGAAGCGGGGAATCATGCTCCTAGAATGAAGAGTCTCACAGCCAACAGTACCTGGATTTTTCCTTTAAAGACGGTGTGAGTAGTGCTTAGCCCTGTCCTTGGCACACACGGGTCCTTTTTAAACGCCAGAGCAGGAGCTAAAGGATGGAGATGCTGAAGGATACTGAAGGATGTTGAAGGATGGAGAGTCTGATTGGTGTCAGCCTCCTGATCTAGAGAGTGCCCCCCCCACCCCCGCACACCTTTCTACACACACCCTGGCTTCCAGTCAGAACCCAGGAAAGAGCCAATGGCTTTCAGTCTCTCTCCACCAGCAGACCCATACTGCTCCAAGGTCTCGTGGTTGAAAGCCAGTGATCTAAAGCACATGAGTACCCAGCTTCTCTCTCATCCTAGCCAGACAGGATAGGGTCAGTGCCTCAGCAACCTGGAGATGGAAGAGGCTTAGCTGGTGGGAATGAGCCAAAACCTCCCCCGAGAAAAGCTCATGACTTGTCTTCTGTAGCTTCGCCTGTAGCTGCGTGGTCTCTTATAAACCATTCTGCTCTGGGAAGTCTTCCCTGAGCTTGTTGCAGCTAAAAAGACCTTGCACTCAGACCTCTGATTGTGCTGTGATGTGAAAAGTCAGGTGGACCTCAGCTAACTGGCAAACTTTGCCAGGAAAGCACGAGGCTCTCTCGCCAGAACCTTGACTGCAAATTCAAACCGCCCGACTCCTCTGGGAGCTCATTTTGTAGAAGAGCCCGAGAAGCAGACTCTCGCCTTGTCCTGCTGGGTGATGCTGCGTTAGAAACATGAGACTGTCCTTGGGGCAGGAATGGAGGGAGTAGAGACAGGAAATGGGCACAGCATGAGGGGGGAGAATTTGGGCAGGAAAAGCCCAAAACCAACTGAGACCACCTCAAGTTGAAATCCCAGCATTGTCTTGAGCTACCTGTGCAGAGTGTTCAGCGAGTACTCAGCCCGTGTTACACTCCTCATCAGCGCTGCTGACCTTCCAGGGTGGTTATGATCATTGAACAAAGAGTGTTGCCCCTCTTATACTAAAGTTTAAGTTAGGGGCTAGGGACATAGTAGTACAGAGGGTAAAGTTGCTTGCTTTGCATGCAGTTGACTCAAGTTCTATCCCTGGCTCCACATATGGTCCCCTATGCCCCGCTAGGAGTGATCCCTGAGCACAGAGGCAGGAGTAAGCCCTGAAAGCTAAGATGCCCAAAATGTAAAGCTTAACTCAGTGTTAATTTCCACTTCCTTTTTGTGGAATGAGAGTTGGGGGAAATGCTGTAACCTAGCCCCAGTGAAAACAAAGGACACTCGGTTCTAATAAATACAGGGTCTACATAAGGATCAGTGGCTACTGTACCTCTTGCATCTGAAACATGAGGACTTGGGCCATGCCATTTAGCGCTGCTCCTGTGGGCATCAAGTGGCTCTTGGAGGCAGTCCTCTCTTGGAACAAGTGCTGGTGGCCCAGCTGTACCTGGCGTGGCCTGAGATGCTGCTCTGGGCAAGAGGAAAGAGGAGGATGCTCCTTTCATCAGCACCAGGAACAAAGTTTCTGCTCCCCAGTGAATGTGTCTCTCTCGGGCAGGGCTGCAGGGATTGGCATCCTGATCGTGATCCTGGGCATCTCACTGCTCATTGGCTGCTGGTATTGCAGATGGCGAAGAGGATACCAGCGCCTGAAGGTCGGTACCATTCTCAGAGCTGCTGGGAGCCCTGTAGCGCCTCCTTTGACTCTTCGAGGGATGAGGATAATATTCTCCCAATAGCCTCTAGTCCTGATCTGGCTGCTGCTGAGTTTCTGGAAATTGTACTCCTTGGAACTTTTCCCGTGTCTCTGCCCAGTATGCACCCCTGCTCCTGCGGCTCCACCCACTGTGAACCTGAGGGCTGGGTCACTAGGTGTGCTGAGTGCTGAGAGTTTGTAGGGCTCAGGGGAAGGATATGTGCTCTTCTCAAACAGATCTTCCAGTCTTACAATCCTGCTAGGGGTTCTGGCCGGTTCCATTTAATGCTGGCTCCTTTGGCCTCTTTACTTCTTTGCTTCCAAGGCTCCCAACAATTCCAATTTCTTCTATTGTAGCAAGCAGCTTGGTAGTAGAGGAAACCGTCTACTTCTCAGCGGCACGAGGACACTGTGTTTCCCATGGGCCTCAACCTTCACTGATATCAAAGTGTTTAGTTGTTTTGGGGCCACACCAGTGGTGCTTAGGGGTCATTTCTGGTGGGTTGGGAGACCTTATGTAGAGCTGGGGATTCAAACGCGTGTCAGGAGTGTGCGAAGCAAACACCCTGTCTGCTGTACTATCGCTCTGACCCAAGAAAGAATTTAGTTTTCCAAGGAGTGAAAATTATGTAAATTCAATACTCCTTTCCCAACTTTGCACAATGGCAGTCTTGAGGCTACTTAACAAGATAACAATTTTTCTCTCTTTGCCTCAATATTCTCCTCTTAAACACACCCAACAGAAGATCAAGAAAGATGTAATGTCTTAGTTCAGCTATTGTGTCCAACATTTTGCTTGGCAAGGTTCAAATTCAACCAACGTGCCTCCATGCCTTGGGTCTAGATTACTGGTTTGTAGAATTTCTGAAATTTTTATGAGCTAGAATTATGTTTAAATTCCCCAGATCCTTAGAATCTAACAATGCCGTCATTTGTTTTAAAATTACTTTTAAAATATCTTGTTTTAAGACTTTGTTATTTCCTGAAAAGCCAGGTTAGGAATCAGTAGTCTAAGAAATTAAGGAAAAAAATTATGTAAGATGGTGCTGTAGTTAATAGTATAATTACCTCCCACCCTGTCTCTTAGATGATTCTATTTTCATTTTAAAGCAAAAGAACACAAATGACAACAAATGCAAGCAGGGGGTACGTAAGTTACCCACCTTTAGCAACTTTTGTTAAACTCTGAAATGTCCACATTACTATTTTTTATGATCAGAATAGAAGTTTGGTTGCAATGAAGATTTCCTGAAGTTTCTTCCTTAAATAGCAGTTACTCTTAGCCCTAAAAAGTATCTTGCCAGGTGGATCTTTCTTGCAGTCCTCACTCTGGGATGTGCCTTTCTTATAAAAATTGTTGTTATTCTAGAAATGGAAATCATCACCCCCAACCGTGATTCAAGGCACCAAACCAAGTGTTAACCCACCCCTTCCTCCAATAACCCAGTGCATGACTTAGCCACAGTATGACTTACCATTATCATTATAACACAACTTGCACACTCTAAGCTATCACTCATCATTTCAATCATAACCCATGTATTTGCAGTGTTTAAGATATCCTGCTGTGATTATGGGGAAGGCATCATTAGACAGTATGCCTCTGTTGTCAAGTTACTCACTTGTTTTTCCTCACTGCTATGACAGCTTGGGCTTCACAAACTCTGGCCTATGCCATCTCCAGTGACTCGCTAGGACCGCTTTCCCTCAAAGTTTGCCTTGCATGAGGCCAACCCGGGTTTGATCCCCAGCATCCCATATAGTCCCCTGAGCACTGCTGAGAGTAACTCTTGAGTGCAGACCCAGGAGTAACCCCTAAGTACCACTGGGCATGACCAAACTAAAAACTAGCTGGTGTTGGCCACTGTTCTGTCTTACCTTCTCCAGAGAAGGGTGCTATTAATTTCATATACAAGACTCACACAGTGGGATTTGGAGAGATAAAGGGGATAAGCCTGAGGACAGACAATGCGTAAATGACAAAGCCCAGATGAAACTCCCATCTTAAAAGTCATTTCTTTTTCTTTTCTTTGATGAACTCAATTGTTTTCACTCACTGATTTTTATGAATTCACATTTCAGGATAGAAGTTTTCATGTTGGTCCTCTAAGTGCCGTAACAGGAAGATGCCCGTGTGAGGTACTTGGTTACCAGGAGAAGAAACTGCCTTTGCAAGAGATCAATTATGAATCTGTGGTAGGTTTAGGTCTGAAATCTCGATGTCTTTACATATGAATGCTTTTAACGTGAGCACTGTAGCACCGGAGCATTGTCTTCCCGTTGTCCATCGATTTGCTTGAGCGGGCCCAGTAACGTCTCCACTGTGACTCGTTGTTACTGTGTTTGGCATATTGAATAAATTTGGCATATTGAATAAGTCATGGATAACTTGCCAGGTTTTGCCGTGTGGGCGACATACTCTCGGTAGTTTGCCAGGCTCTCCGAGAGGGGTGGAGGAATCAAACTGGGGTCGGCCGGGTCAGGTGCGTGAGCAAATAAAATTATTTCTCTTTAAAAGCAAAGGACAGCAGATAGTTCAATGAACTGGACAAATGCTTTGTATGCTGTAGGCCTGCGTTGAATCCACTATGCACCATCAGGAGCACTGATCTGAGAGTAGCACTTGAGCACTGCTGAATGTGCCCCAGGCTCCGCCCCCACAAGTGATATGATGTAATAAATGCCATTATTTCAGAGTACGAGAACGACTATAAGTAATTCATGAAGTTTCTATATTAATTACATGTTGAATTCTTTGATATGTGCAGTTATGTAAAATATTGAGGTTAATAGAACCTGTGTAATTTTTAATGTAGCTGTTAAGTATCTCAAAATTTCCTATCTGGAGAACTCTGTCTTTTGGAAAGCAGAGATAGCTGCAGTGTATAATAATGACTGAAGTCTCTGACTCTGGAATCAAAATACAGTGTTTAATTCTTAGCCCCACGACTTACTACTTGTATGTCTCCTTAGGAAGGCAATTTAACTTCCTCTTGACCTACACCAAAACTCTCCTATAATTGCTGTGAGCATTACCTCAAACACATGCTCTCTTGGTAACAGTAATGATTTTCAGATAAAGTTACAAGGATCTAGAGGGTAATGGTCCAGGTGTATTTGTGTTTGTGAACAGAACTGAAAAATTCCTGAAGAGTTTAGAGAATCAATTCCTAGATATACGGGGAAGCCCCCTTAGCCCTATTTTTCCTTCACTTTCCTCCAATGTTTTACCAGGCACATTAATGAAATTTAATGCACTTTTTTGTTTGGGGATAGTCAAACATTTTGGGTAATGACACCCAGCACACCCAGCAGTGCTCAGAGGTTGCTTCTAGAAGTGCTCAGGGGACTATGCAGTGCTGGGGCCCAAAACCAAGCTTCCTGCAAAGCACATGCTCAGCCCATTGAAGATATTTCTGGCTCAACAATGACTAGTTGTTGGATGGAAATTAGATATGAGCATTTAAACATTTCACTCCAGAGTAAACACCTAAATTTGATATAACTTATTTTGGTTTAATGCTTCCCAGAGACTTCTGTGCTGCTGCCAAGTGATCTCTCCCTATCTCATCCTTCCAGGTTCCCAATGCTCCACCTGCCTACGAGAAGCTCTCCGCAGAACAGTCACCGCCGCCTTATTCACCATGAGAGCAAAAAAGCCCCAGGGGATGCTAAAATCATCTGCCACCCTTTCACTCAAATTTCATATGCTCTAACATTTTGCTTTGTAATGTGATAGAATGAGTATAATGGTAAGGTTAGCGGTAAAGTCTTAGTAAAGCATCTAGACATCCTAATCGAGGAAACAAGGAGAAGAATAAAATGGTAAACACTTTAATCAATAAAAATTTCAATGCATGATATTGCCTGTACCAGTGGTAATGTTCATAACCCGATGGTTTTTATTGTCTAAGGGAATTTAAGCAGATTTTCTGGAACTATCCAATTTGTTTTCGGTTGAACTCTAGGTAAATATTACCAAACCACTCTTTTGATTTTTGAAGAAGTGATCTCTTGACCTCACAAACTTTAACAGAATTACTGTAGGGAAGTCTGTGCTGAGTGCTTACAGAGGATACCTTTATAGATATGAGTGACTGTAGTCATTAAGATATGACAGAAAACTGTGAAAAATATCCCTTTGTATTCTAGGAGTCCATGATAACACAACATACTACAGACGTTTTATAGCTCTATGTGAGAGTGTGTATGCATGGTTGTGGTGGAGGGAATAAACCAAGGTTCTCACACATAAATGGTATGTGCACTACCACTGAGACAGAGTACAGCTACAGATCCTATATCTTAACAATAACATATAGCGCAGTTCTATAAAATAGCTAAGAGGACAAAGAACCTCCGGCTCCGGGCACATCTCTTTGATTCCACTGTTCTTCCTGCACTAACATACGCCTCAGAGACCTGGGCCCTACGCAAACAGGATGAGAATGCTATTCAGGTCTCCCAAAGAAGAATAGAAAGAGCTATGCTTGGAATATCACGTTTCACTCAAATGAGAGAAAGAATCCGGAGTTCCGACATCCGACATCCGTCGACGATCGAGAATCAGGGACGCTGTCTCGTTTGCCAAGGTGTCAAAAATCAAATGGGCTGGTCACGTAAATGAGATTTAAAGACGACCGACCGCTGGACTAGAGCTGTTACTGACTGGATTCCATGGAACGTCAAAAGACCGCGTGGCCACCCACCTACCAGATGGTCAGACTTCTTCATCAAGATCATGAACGATCGGTTTGAGGCTCTTCATGTTCCTATAGCGAACAGACACCATTGGGCTACACTAGCACGCAACAGGGACAGATGGAGACGTTACTGGCGCCCACTCAAGCAAATTGACGATTAACGGAAGTCAAGTGATCAAGTGATAGTGCAGTTCTAATCACATCTCACTTCAAGGTTCAGTACTATCACAATGAATGAGAAGAATTTTCTCTTAGAGCAGAAAGTGGTATAAAGATTTAAACAAGTAGGGCTGGGAAAATAGTTCAAATGACTGAGTGTGTGCCTTGCATGGGGGTTGGAGAGAGCGGTTCTACCCTCCACACTACATGATTCTCCAATAACCACGAGTGCTACCCCCAAGCACAGAGACAGATGCAGACCAAAACTAAAATAGGGGGGAAAAAGATTTAAACAAGTAAGAACTACTATAATTTTTATGGCATCTTGTCTTACAAATATCACTCTGGGCTCCCAAATCCTTCTCTCAAGGACCGAAGAAATCGTAAGGATCAGAGATTCTGGAATGGTGTCACAATTTACACAGTAACATTGCAATTTTTCTGGTTAACATCTACATAACACCTATAGAGACCATATCTCAGTCAGATCATCAAAACATTCTGGCTTACATTTATATCGACACCTTAAGAAGGGACGGATGTAGCACCATTTCCTACATGTAGAAGAGTGCCATGGAAATTAAGATAATGAAGTAAAGTTACTTTTATTAAACATACTGGTGGGCAAGGGAGATAGTGTATGTTTTGCACTGGGAGCCCTGGGTTTGAGGGACCCAGCACTGCATGGTCCCTGAGCACCACAGGTAGTGGGCAGGGTTGGGGGGAAAGAAACAGAAAACCTATTGATGGGCAAAAAGGCTGTGAAATTGAGAAATTGAGCCCTGCCCTCTACATTAAAAAGGGAGATTAGCGGCTAGAGAGAGAGGACGGTGTTAAGGCACTTGCCTTGCATCCTAATGACCTGGGTTCAAATCCCTGGCACCACTGATGGTTCCCTGAGCACAGATCCAGGAATAGTCCCTGAGCAGCACTGGGGATGGAACCAAAACCCTCTCCATCACTGCAGGTCCTCAATCTCCCAGAAAGAGAGAAATTCAAGAGAGTCAAGTTTTTTTTTTTTTTTTTATGTTTTGGGTCACAGCCAGTTGATGCTCAGGGGTTACTCCTGGCTTTGCACTCAGGAATCACTCCTGGTGGTGCTCGGGGTACCATATGGGATGCTGGGAATTGAACCCGTGTCGGCCGCATGCAAGGCAAATGCCCTACCTGCTGTGCTATTGCTCCAGAGTCAAGTTTTTGACATGAGCAGACGACCTGCAAGATAAAATGACTGTCTTATTATGCTATTTAATGCAGCCAGTAAGCCATCTAAAATATTTTTGTCACTGAAAAATGGTGTAGCATAATGAAACTATTTCTACAAAAGATTGTAAGGATGGCAAAAAACACTGAATAAATAGGATTATCCTAGATGGTAAAAAAGATTATGCAACAAAATCACTAAACTGCCTGTCTTTCCTATTGGATTCTTTAATCTTAAGACCCTTCCTTCATTTCAAATAATAAGTTCTGAACAAGAAAATGACATCCTTTCGGCCAGAACCCCTCCTCATGTTGGGGGTTAGTCCATGCCACAAGCCCCTGCTTTTGAGCCATTGGACCCCTCCAAGTTCCAGACTGTCACTCACAGAGGTACTTTGTTTTCTGTGGGAGAAGATCCTCTAAAGTAGTATCCCAAGTAATGAAGGAGATAGATGACTTGGGCTGAATCTTTTAGAATGAAACGAGAAGAGTGCAATCTTGTTAAAAGGAATAGAAGGTCTGATTATGTGGATCAGAAACCAACTGTCGCTCAGGTGCCAGGAGGTACGGTACGGAGAATTTACTAATGTGTAATGAAACAGGAAGTAAGAAAGAAGTTGGAAAGGCCTTGAGGTGCCTTAAATTTCTAGAAACTAAAAACCACAGAATATTGAAGTGGGGAGGAGGTACAGATAGAGCTGGAGGGGTCATCGGTACCTAGTGAAAAGCCTTTTAAAATATTAAGTTGGAGGCTTCAGGATTACCACATCATACAGAATTTTGAAGGTCAGGTTGAGATTTTGGATTTAGGAGTTAGAAAAGAATCAGTGGTTAATAATGAAATATCTTCATTGGGATTAAAGTTAGCCACAGGTAGCTTAGTTTCTAGGTGTAACTTAGCAAATTATTTTGAAACAAAAATGTGGTTTTAAAAGTATGTAAATACAAGTGATTTACTGAGTAGTATATGTGTACAATGCAATGAACTAGAACGCCACTAACTTCACCTCAAAGCCTGAGAGTTTTCAAACCTAACAGGGCGGAGGGGTGGTGGGGTGGAGGCGAGGCAAAGGTGACTAATAAAGGTACCGCTGGTAAAGGTCGTGTCTCAGCACACAGTGCAGGTGTGAGAGCCTTCAGTAGCTTTCCAGGAATAGTCTTACTCCCCTTTCCGCTTGCCAACTCATACATTTTAATGTAGCTTCAAAAGGAATTGTTAAACCGGTTCTTCTCTGGCATTTCCCTGCTAAATCCATGTGACAAGAAATTACAATGGCATTATAAATGAAATGTAGAGTAGCAGACAATCAGTATCCAAAATAAGATAATGGGTGTAAGGATCCAATGGGTATAAAATCTATCTTTTATTTAAAATGAGACATATTCTAAAATGCCAAAAAGTCAAACCCTGAGAATAAGCTGACCCACAAAAACTACTTAACAATGAAAATTTGGTAATTTGTCATCGAAAAAAAAAAAACAGAAAAGCAAAGCACACTTATAAGTGAAAGTGTACAATTCGTTATACACTGAAAAGCAAATTGGTTTTTAAGTATTACTTTGGAAACTCAGATAATATAAACCAATTCCTCAAAATAAAAATAAGCATAACAGGAGAAACCAGGTAAAAGTGGTTCCCCACTGTATTATCACTGCAACTTTCCATGAATCCAAACCTTTTTTTTTAAAATAAAAGCTTTAAAAAAGCATATTTGTGGTGTACACAGAGACCAAATATATTGGCCTGAAAGAAGATCACTTATTTTGGCCAAATTAGAATTTGGTGGTGTATTAGGAGAAAAACTTAATGACGTCTAGAATGAAATATGATAATAGAATTTCCAGAGAATCAATGAAAAAGAATTTAAAATATCCACTTCAACTACTATCTCTAGCATTTACTAGCTGGGTAACATGGAAACATCACTTACCGTCCTGAGTACTGTAAAAACTGAATAAGATATGTATAAGGAAAATTTGTAAACTGTGACGCCTCTCACAAAGACTAGCTACAAATTCAAATTTCCCAGCCTTAGTTTTTTGGGAAAGGGCTTCTCATTTTATGTCATATAGTCTTCAATGGAATAAAAACACACTTTAAAAATGGTATTCAAAACCAAAGAAATACAGCAACTCAGTTTATTACATGCAGATTCTTCTGCACTGTTGCTAACAGTTCACTGGTCCAAAATTACTAAAATACTTAAAAAACTATACATTATGTAAACAAAACATAAATAAGACAGCATAGTTCTTTGTACATATAGTTTAGTACAGGTTGTTAGGGATTTAGGAATATGTACAATTTTACACGATGGATTGCATTTTCATAATGCATAAATATATATATTTTTACAGAAACAAAAATAATATTTCACTAATGACACTGAATACCATATCATAGATACATTGCAATAGTCCAAATTCAATGAAAACATCAATGCAAGAGTGCGAGAGGCTAGCTTACTCAATCTAGTCAAACTTGACTTTGCTCAATTTATGTTATACAGAAAGGTTAAATCCTCACCATCTATTTTAATGAACAACCTTTGAAAACATACTCATACTAAGGAGTGAAATGGAACAAATTTTTCTCTCCCCTAAACAAAACCTTTATTGCAAGCTAATGAAAAAGATACATTAACACACGCACACACACACACACATACGCGCACACACATACACACAACTATGTATAGTATGCTTTCAACAGTATAATAAACAGTTAAAACTTTTATGGGAGTCAAAACAATGCCCCATTATTTAAAAACTGGCTCGCTCAGTCTAAATTCAAGACGCAGCTGTGTCAGGCTTCTCTAAGCCAGGTGACTGAAAAGCAGGGAAGACCGAGGCAGAATTCCGACTGGCAGATACAACAATTTGAGAGAGAGATGAAGATAGTGAAGAAACCTTAGATGCGGGGGTATTTATGGTATTTAAAATGGCGCCTTCTGGGCTCACCAACAACTTTTTGACAGATGTGTCCAAATGAAACACTGAAGTGCTACTCGGCAGTGGAGGATTATTAGAGCAGATGGCAGAAACCAAAGACGACTTAGACAAAAGAGTAGCAGGAGGAGACTTAATTACTGAAGTCATTGATACCACTGGTGCAGGAGGTGGAATAGAAATTTTAGCAGTTGTGTTTATGATTTGTGGCGTTGTAGGTACTGTGGGTAAAGAACTTGCATTTCCAAGAGAGTTTACAATTTTCGTAGAGCTTTTTGGAGAATGTTTTACAGGCTGCCCAGTTAAGGAATTGTTTGATGGTAGTGTGATCTTCTGGGTAGGATTATCTACAGGTGTAGCTTGGATGCCTTGGGCACTGTTAAGAATTAAGGGAGGTCCGTATTTTGGATTAGTAGATATGAGGAGAACATGACTGCCAGCCCCAAGGCCTTGTGGGGGAACAATAAACCGGGTTCCATTAATCATGATCTGGGTACCAGGTGCCAAAGGTGTATTAGTGTTGATGACTATTTTTTGCTGAATGTAAGGTTCACTAAACTGACCCCCTACCACACTAGTTACATTTGATGCTGCTGTAGCACTGTGAATGGCAGAACCACCTGGAGTAGGACTGTAACTGGACGATGGTTTTGCTAAAGCAGGAGACATTTGCTGGTTTGGCAGAGAAGCAAAATTAGAAATATTAATTATTTTACCTGGACTTAGTGAAAGGGACGGCAATTCAGTCTGAGGTTTATTTGTGTTTATATTTGTTGGCACTGTAGTTGAAATCCCTGGTGACTGAAACTGGACACAAGTCCTAGATTGTCTTTTAGAAAGAGATACAGAACGCGTGACTCCCGGCACTGGCGCTGTCGCTGCATGTGGAACAGTATTGATTACTTTGGGGGCTACAGTCACAGGTGTGGGCAAGGCAACAGTAACAGGGATTTGTAAAGCTGATGTTAAACATTTAGGAGACACTGTGGGTTGTGTAGTTGAAATCAGAACAGATGATGCAAGATGTCCCGTTTTCACAGTTGAGATAGCCACAGTGTTTCCGAGATTTGATGTGCAAATTCTATTTGACAAAATAGGCATCATTCTTGAAGAGGTATCGTTTCCACTGACTAAAACAGGAGGTGCTGCCCCAACTGAAGCAGAGGTTGAGGTCACTGAAAGAGAACCCAAAGATACGTTTGCTGCTGTTACTGAGAGCACATTTACTGCTCTTGCTGCAGAAACCACTGATTCGTTAACTGGAGTAATATTTTGACTCACGAAATTTGATACTGGAACTGAATTACCACTTGTTGACAATGGCAAAACATAGCCCTTGTTACTTTTTTCTTCTCCTTTTTGGGTTACATTTTGCAGGATGTTAATTGGTGGGATAGACGGCACAGTGCCTGAAGAATTAATAATTGCTTGACCTATGTTTAGTCCAACTTTCACATCTTTGATCTGAGACACAGTTGGGGATGGATTTATTTTTATTGGTGTTCCTACTGTAGATGGAATTAGTACGATCTGGGGTTGTTCTGGAGTCTTCACGTATGTTTTAGTCAAGGGAGAAGGAAGAGTTTTTATCAACGATTCTGTCACAACAGTAGGGGTTGAAGTGCCACTGGGTATTGGGGCATTAAAAAAAACGAATTTCTGGGCAGAAACGCCTGCAGATGTTGGTGCAGGGGTCACATTAATTGCAGTCCCGCCGCCAGAAGAAAGAGCAGACGGAGTTGACACTAGCCTAAGTTTCTGAACCGGAGTTCCATTGATCACATTTCCATTTGTTGCTGCTGCTGCTTCCGATCTTGTTACAGGGTTATTTTTTGTGACGTGATCTACTTGTGGCTGTTTAGTATGGATGACATTTGCACTGGCTTGTCCAAAACTTCCTGCTGTCAGGCTAATTACACTTACTGAACTACTTGCTGTCGTTGGTAGTAGAGTATTAGAAGAGACAGAGGACTTCAAGGGAGAAGAGGGCACCTGTGAATTTTTATCTATCATGTGACTCAGATTACCACCACAGGAAGGATGGCCTAATGGAAGATTGATACTTGTCCCTACGGGTGGATTAAAGCTGGTTGGATTTGAAGCAGAAGCTGACGTTTGGCAAAAAGATGAGAGACTAGATGTTGTAGCTGTTCCCGCAATTGGTGAGAAGGCAGAGGATGATGTTGTTGTTGGTTTTGGCACTAGAAATGCCTGAAGCTGAGGAGCGAAAGTGAAAACTGAACCTGAAGATAAACTGCTGGGTGAACTTTGATCTGGATTGGTCTGTACTTTTACAACTCCAGTGTTCCCACCTCGTGTCCTAACAAGAATTGACTGTGAATCTCTTATGCACACAGTTTTCAGTTCTTGCTTTGCTTCAGAAGAATCAGCAGTTTGTTGTGGAAAAGAGCTGAGGGAACTTGCAGTATTTGTAGATCCACTTAGTGTCCTTGTTGATAACAAAGGGTGAACTGTTGAGGAAATGGTGGGTGAGGCAATGGGCTGCGGGAATGTGGCTGCTGAAACTGCATTCTTGACTTTTCCTGCCTCACTCTGGCTAGCCTTAACTAGTGGTGTTAATAAATTACTTACAGAGGTTACAGGGGACAAAGGCTGTGGTCTAGCACTACTCACATTTGACGAAGATGTAACTGTTTTGTTTAAAACTGTACTAGGTGGCGGAGTAGAAACAGTTCCTGCTGAGTTCACAAGAACTGATGATGAAGAAGAATGCGCATTTGCTGTTTGTGGGAAAGATGAACAATGTTGTTCTGAACCTTTTTGTTGAACTAATGGTATTTCTTTTGTAGCTGCTTTCCCTTCTTTGTGCTGAATCACAAAATTCTTAGGCAGAATTAGAACCTGCTGCATCACTTTTTCTCCCGTTTTCGGATCCAGCACAGGCTGCATCTGAATCTTTACAGAACTATTATGAAGATCTATGGGCAACCACTGGCCACAGGGAGTTTTGTATACCATCTGTAAAGGCCCTTTTGTACTGGCATGGCAGGTCAATGCTGGCTTTATAGGGCTTGTTTCCAGAGGAGATGTAACTGGCTTTTCCACAGCAGGGGCATTTCTACCTGTGGAAGGGGGCAGTTGATTTGTTAAGGTCACTTTGTTCCCAGTGTTCTTTGCAAGCAAGGCCTGAATAGGTTTGGTCCCTTTCTGAAGAGTAGACACTGGTGTTGAATCCGGTGAGGCAAAGGATTCTGGAGACAGTGGCTCTGTACGCTTTGATTCATTCGAACAGTCAATCTGCATATCGCCTTCTACATTCTCAACTGTTGTTTCATTTGTGCTTAACTTTGCTTTCTTCCTCGGTGAAAGCTCTTTTGTGCTATCATCCAGATGAAGAGTTTGTTTTGACTGTCTTTTAAGTGTTTTAGGCAGTGTCTTTGATACATCTTTAGAAGGCAATTCCTTTTTCAACAACTTGCTTCTGACCACAGGAAAATCTACTTCTGACAATTTCATATCATCTGAAAATTAGAAAAACATCTGATAAAATTGGTTTATCAGAAAAAAGCAGCCAAAATACAGCAATAAGACAAAGTGTAAAATATAGTCAGTTAACCACTGAATTGGAAACTTACTAAGAAATCTATAGGGTCGCACTTCAAAAATCTTAGTATCACTGACAGATATTAAGGTACAGTGATCTTTGACACGGTAATATTTTTTATCATAATTCATTTCAAGAACAACCTATTATTAACAAGTAAATTATTTTTTTGGTCAAATTCAGCTAATTCTGCTACCAATACCAAATGCAAAAGGAAATTTTGTATCTGTTAAAAAACATATTCAAGCCAGCAAACAGAGGTTATAATTTAGATCTATAATGTGGTTCTCTTCCTTTAAATAGGAAAATATTAAAAGAAAAATATCCCTCTACTCCAATTTATCTTAAACACCCTAAAAAGAGAAAACTTTTCATTTTTCTCCTGGTGTTGAATTGTTCTTCTAGAAAATTTTTTTTAATATAATTTATCAAAGATATAGAAACAGATTAATACATTTCTAGTCATAAACACCCATACTACCCTTTCATTATTTAACTGTATTTACAAATATAATCTGACAAACTGAAATGAATTACAAACACTTTAATCAAGACTCCTTATTAGAGTGAAGTGTCTATACTGGCTTCATAAGTCTATCCATCTTGGTCATTCCTTATTTAAAACATGTTTCACATCATTAAAGATTTCCAAAGTTTCACTTAAATCAACTCTCAGAAGCAGTGCTTCAAAAATAGTCACAGTCCTCCCGCTGTTCATCTATTTGCTCGAGTGGGCCCAGTAACATCTTCATTTTTTTTGAGACTTGTTACTGTGTTTGGCATATTGAATACATCACGGGTAGCTTGCCAGGCTTTGTCGTGTGGGCACAATACTCTCGGTAGCTTGCCAGGCTCTCCGAGAGGGGTGAAGGAATGGAACCCGGCTCAGCCAGGCCGATTTCACGCAAGGCAAACGCCCTACCCACTGTGCTATAGCTCCAGCTATACTTTCAAAACATACGAACTTTCCCAATCAACATGATTCATTAATCAGATCGTTCTTTATCTCCACAAAAGATACTTAAACTTCTCTTATAAACTTAGTGGTGATTTGCAGATAATTTTAATGCTTACCTGAGTCAAAGTGATCCTTCTCCAGGATATCTAGAAGTTCCGCTGAATCAGCAGACTTACTGATTTCTACTTTAGGAGATTCTTTTCCAGGATCCCCTTCACTTTCTTCAGCAGTCCACAGTTCTCTAGTAAATTTATCATGATCAGGTTGTCTCCTGAAATCATCATAATCTTTCTTTAGCCGACTCCTGGAATAAAATGCCCAATATAAAGTTATACGTATGTATTAAATTCTTAGAAGTTTAAATATCAAATTATCAAAATATTTTCAATGATCAAAACATTTAAATTTATAAAAATGCTTTAATCTTAAATGTGCCTAATATGGTAATGTCAGCCTTGCAAATAATAATAATTATTATTTTATTATTATTAGTGAATCACCGTGAGGTACAGTTACAGACTTACAGACTTTTGTGCTTGTGTTTCAGTTGTACAATGATCGAGTACCCACCCCTCCACCAGTGCCCATTTTCTACCACCAATGATCCCAGTATCCCTCCCACCACCCCCACCTCATTGCCCCCCTCCCCACCCCGCCTCTGTGGCAGGGCATTCCCTTTTGTTCTTTCTTTCTGGGTGTTGTAGTTAGCCTTCCAAAGAACTATTAACCACGAAGATAAAACCCAGGATGTAGGCATAATCAGGGCCGGAGTGATAGTTCAGTGGGTAGGCAATTGCCTTACAAGCGGCTAATACAGGTGTGATTCCTGGCTCTGCCAAGAATAATTTCTGAACACAGAGCCAGGAGTAAGCTCTATGAACAGGTGGCTATGGAACCTCCTACCTCCAACAAAAAAGAAGCCTTACAAGATTAAGAGGGCAACTTCAGAATGCAGTGTCTGAGTATGTCTCCCAACTGTCCTTCGGAAGACTAGTATTAGACCCATTAAAAGAGAGAAAAATGAATTTCTCTTTTAAGCTGCACTGACAGAAATAGATTAGAGACAGTGAAAATCCTAGATAATATAGTTTTAAAAGCAGTAAAAGGGACAGAAAAAGTTTCACAAGCTGAGTTTATGTTTTTCATGCAGAAGCCTGGCTCAAGAACATCAATCAAACATCCCTTCTTTTTGCACAAGCAGAACAGTTAGTTTACATGGAAAATGGGGGGTGTAGGTACAAATTAAGGTCATAAGTTGCAAGAGTGATGTGAAATATGCAAATATTTTAAGACTGCTTCCAATTTTCCCGAAACAAAGAGAAAAATTCTTCACCTGGTTTTTATAAGGTCACCCTTTTTCTTTGTTTCCTCTAAAATAACACTTCTTCTATTTCATAATTTATATACTTATATAAGTATGTATTATATAATATATACTTATATGTAAGTATATGTTAATACATTATTATATACATAACTTCAATACTTATCTCCACCACCTTTAAATGTTGTGTCCCAGAATTCAGTACTTTTTTCTGTCCATGTTCATATACTAGGCTTAAATATATGTTATTTCCTGACAACTTCCACATTTTATACCTCTAGTGTGGCTTCTTCTTTTAAAAAGGAACACAATAAACTGCTTACTAATAACTCCAATTAGAAGTCTAAAAAACATATCAAATTTAACATACTGACTTCAAACCTTTAAATATCCCCTACTCTATGCTGCTACCGTATCAACTTTCCCTAAATATTAGCCAAAGATAATTCCATATTCTAATGATTTTGGCCCAAAACAATGGGAACAGTTTCACTATTTCATTCTGAACCTCCATACCTAATCATTAGGCAAATTCGACCAATCCTATTCTCCAGATATAACCAGAATCCATTATCCCCTTGTCATCTGCATTACTACCTCATCTAGGCCACTATTATTATTTTTTTATTTGGATTACTGCTATACTATAACTCATTTCCTTGTTTTCTTCTTTGTACCTAGTACAATAATATCAAAACAGCAGAGCGAACGAGTATTATAAAATATAATTCAATTATGTCCCTCCTCCACTTAAAACCTTTCAAGTATCAAAACTGAAGTCCATGTATACCTACAAGTTTTCGCTACCTTTCTTCCTTATACTTCTCCTGACTTTCTTCTTTTGCTTTATTCTTGGGCCATGCTCGGTTGTGTTCAGGCTTACTTCTAACTCTGCTCAGAAGACTCAGAAGACTGTATGTGGTACCAGGGATCAAACCCAGGTTGGCTATGTGCAGGTCTGACCTGCTGTACTGTTTCTCTGTTTCCTTACTCCTGATTCTTAACTCACTTAATCGGGTTCTGGTTACACTTGACCCTCTGCATTTTCTCTTAACACCAAACACATTTCCAATGTTCAGTTTTTAGCACCTCTTTTTCTTCCAGATGTCATGGATCCCTCCTTCATTGCTTTCAGATCTTTGTTTAAACATCAACGTATCAACAAGCTTTACTGACACCCTAAGACAGCAATCATCCCATACAACAAATGAAAGTATTTCCTATTCTCCTTACCCTGTTTTATTTCTCTTCATAGCACTTATCATCATTGACATCTGAATCTGCCTGTTTCTTCCATTAGAATGTAATCAAGGACAAAATTAACAATAAGAAAATTAGAAAATCCACAAAGTGTGAAAAATAAAAAAACACATTCTTCAACAGCCAAAAGACATATCAAGAAATCAAAGTTGGGAAATATTTATATATGAATGGAAATGAAAACACAACATGCCAAGTTATGGGACACAACAAAAAAGTGTTTAAGGGGGTAATACATAATTTTAAAAGCTTACATAGAGAAATTAGAGGACACACAAAAGAATCTCCAAACTGAACAGCTCATTGCAGAGATGCCTCTGGACCTTGAGCCAGGCTGACTTCACTGGGGTGCCTCAGACGGGGGTAGCTGTCATCCGTCCACCTGCCCCCTAAACACCCTGGCGGCCACCAACTTCCAGAACCCAATGAGAAGTGCAGGTACGTGGGTTCAGTGATGGCAAACTCCAGGCCTCAAGGGATAGGGGATGGGTCAGTAGAATTCCAGGAGCGCGCTGGCCGTGAGATAACAAGCAATATAAAAGAGAGTATGGGGGAGACTGTCTGCTGTGGAGGCAGGAGAAGGGCTGTGGTGGGGGGGAGGGCTACTGAGGACATTGGTAGTGGAAGATGTACACTGGTGGAGGGGTGGGTGTTCAATCACTGTATGACTGAAACTCAAACAGGAAAGCTTTGTAACTGTATCTCACGGTTGGTGATTCAGTTAAAAAAAAAAAAGAAATTAGAGGGCTAGAAAGAGCTCAAGTGACTGAGTTCATGCTTTGCATTCAAGGAGGGTCCAGGTTCTATTCCTGGCACTGCATGTTCCCCATGGCTCTTCCTGAGTACCGAGACATTATGTGGTGTCTCTTCCCCCAGCGAGAACAATCTCAAAATAGCAATCTAACTTTACAAAGAACAAGAAAAATAACAATAAATTCCCAAGCTAGCAGAAGACAGGGGGATGAAAGAAGAGACCAGGGGACCCGAACGGCCGTACAGGGGGCAGGGCAGTTGCCTTGCATGGAGCAGACTCAGGTTTAACCCCCTGTATCCTATGTGGTTGGCCGAACACTACCAGGAGTGATCCCTGAGTGCAGTCAGGAGTGTAGCCCCAAAACCAATACATAAAATTAAAAAGATCAGATATAAATAAAAAAGAAAACAGAAAACAACAGAAAATAATCACTAGAACCAAAAGTCCATTCTTTGTAAGGATCAATGAAATTAAACTTTTAGCTAGAAAGAGTGTGAAAAAGGGAAAGCACAAAAAGTTTATTATTAATGATCCTACATTTAATAAGCAGGATTATAAGGGTACTAAGAACCATCATAGGCCAACAAAATGAGTAATATAGGTGAAATGGAGACATTGCTAGAAACAAAAACCCAGCAAGACTAAACTATGAATACCAAATCTAAATAGACCCATAACAAGAAAACTCAAGCAATTAAAAATCAAGCCAAAACCAAACTTTTATGTGGCTCAGTAGCAGAGCACTTGACTTGCATGTGTGAGGCCCTTGGGTTTGGTTCCTTTTACTCATGGTACCTTGAGCACTGCAGAGAGCCACACTCAAGCACCAAGCCAAGAAGCAGCATGCAACCAGTGCTGGTATGAGCCAAAAACATGGACAAATAATCTCTCAACAAAGGAAATTCCTGGACCTGATGATTTCACTAGTAAATTCTGCCAAACATTCTCAAACTTTAAAAAAAAAATAAAGAGAAAGAAATAAACTCATTTTTTGAGGCAGGCTAGCATTATCTTGATGGCACTACAAGAAACTTAAAAAACATCAAACACTGATGCAAATATTCCTTTTTTTTTCACTGCACGACTTTTATTAACATTTATATTTCCCACCATTTGAAAAAATTGGTGGAAAATATATTTTCACAATATTAACAAAAGGAACAAAGATATTTCTAATAAAACCAAACTTTTCTTGAATATATTCAATTAGATTTTTTTCTAGAGCACTATTAAAAAATGAAAAATACAATTCAAACATGGAAACATAAATTAACACGGAAGTTTATGTATACTCTATATAATCATTCTAGCATCATGTTTAACAATTTTTTAATATATGTACACCCACTTGTCATATTCTCACACATACACATATTTGAGTACATAGAAAATACTTTCTCAGCTCGCATAAGGCAAATATTTATCAGAGAACTGATAATCTTCCTGGTGGGAAAATAGGTTATTTTCAATCCATCACTGACAGCAATCATTTGAGATGTTTTCTCAAATATCAGAACCTAGGGGGATAAAGCTAAAGTAACCCCTGAAGCAGATCTGGAAGGAGAGCAATTTTTCTGCTTTTAGACTACTCTTGCTTGTGATTACGAGTACTCTCAGGAGAGTGCTCAGTCCCACTGGAACTTGGGGACCCATGCAATACAGAGGTTGAACCCAGGCCTGCATGCAAAACCTGTACATGAGTCCTGTGAGCTATCTGGTCTGGTGATGCAAATATTCTTAAATTAGAAGCAAGTCAAATTCAACAGCATATTAAAAGAATTATGTACCACAACTAAATGGAATTTCTGTAATGCAAAAAATAGTTGGACATACAAAAATCAAATCTGTTAATATAATGAATGGTATTATCAGAATGAAGGAAAGAACAGTGATAATCTCAATTGTTGCAAAAAGACAATTGACAAAATACACCAACCTTACATAATAAAAAGACTCGATATAGAAG